TTTTATCCTTTTTTTTTTTTCCTGGAAGTTAGTGTCAATGTTTCCTGTGGGCCTAGGGATAAATATTTATGACAGTTTTGAAAATAAATTCTTTCAGAAATGTTGGCGAAGAAGTTTATGATTCTCTTACCACTATCACCTTATCAATATGGAATAGGATTGGTTTTGGCATTTGGCAAATTTTTCCTTTTGTCAATTATATATTTGCATATCTAAGAGAAGCTATGAGTGAAAATTTAGACATGTCTATACATATGAAACAAGTAATAACCTCTAAAGACCTAAATTTTGTCAATTTATGACATTTGAAGTAGCTGGAAAAATCACACATTTTACCTCAATATGTTGTACTGCTGTTAGTTGCGGTTTTGACATTAACATTTTAGGATGATTATAGAAATTATAGCTATATTCATGGTTTAAGAGACTGACTCTCAGACCCTAATACTGTAAAAAATTATTTAAATACCTGATTTTTAAGATAACAGTAAAACTTAATTTTATTTATTTCTAAGTGTTATTGTATGGGAGACTTCTGAATGTTGCTCCTATTTGATGTAGTGTGGAGTATATAAAAAGAGCAGATACTGTAGTGATCCTACGGTTTTAGTTAAGGAGGAAGGCAACAATTGTAGAATCTGTATGAATGCAAAAATACAATCAGAGGAAAGAAAGTAATAGAGTAGTTACTTACATTTAAAAACATCGATGTCTACTCTAAATAATAACCCTTATGTTATTTTCTGCTTTTATGTTTGAAAATTAACAGACTCATAGAGGGATCTGTCCATGAACTAGTAATTTGAAATATGAACAACTGGATCTGTTTATAATATATACATGTAAAAAAACAGTATACTACCATTATCATGTTGTCCCAGGACATGGAGCATGAATGAAGAAATCTCTAAGATTTCATACCACATATGGCACAGTTCAAGGCTGTTACATGCTATTATACTAGCACATACAAATAGAAATTGATTGGTATTTATGTATATGTACACTTTTATTATTGAATTTCCATTGTGTAAGTTTTTATATTTAATTGCTTCATTACAAAATCTAGAGAATGTTCTACTGTATTCTGAGGAATTTTATGAATGTAAAATATTATCAGAATGGCTTAAATTATATAGAAATGATAAATAGGAATGATAGATTTTCTCATGTATGGTAGCATTGAAATGATGCCCATGTGCTAGAAGAATGCCCCATATCAAAACACACACACACACACACACACACACACACACACACACATTTCCCTGAAGTCAGATGTCACTCAAAAGAGAGAACAGATAAATGACCTGAGGATGGAGTACTGATATTGGTGATTACAGGGAAAATCTAGAGAAGGCATTGTGGTGAATTTTATAAAAAAATTAAATGTTCATATTAATGGACCTTAAAACATTTCAACACTCTAATTAATACTATTACTCTGAAATCAATGTCAAAACATGTACACACTAATACAAGCATGCAGACAATTGTGAAATTATAAAAATAATACATATATTGTGTTTTTCCAAATGAAAACATCAATTTGTTGCTAAATTATGACATTGTTAGACACAATTTTGTAATTTTTGCATGTTCTGAGTGGGTTTTAAAATAACATTCCTATTTAGAACATATCCTTTTTATTACATAATTTTTATGTAAAATGGAGCCACCAAGGTCAGACATGATGAATTTCTCCTGGTAAGCCACTGCCATGTAGCAATATACATATTGATAGAAATGGATTAAATCAAGATATGAGAGTTAGCTGATAAGTGGCAAGAGCAAAGGGTTAGGGGTATTTTAATTAATATAATTTCTGTTTTGTTATTTCGGGGCTAAGCGAGCAGGATTGCTGGGACAAGCAAGCAGCCTTTCCCTGGAACAATTGGAACTCAACGTGATCAACTAAATCAATAAAATATATGAATTACAAAAGGTATGAACAAATACAACTGCTTATTAAAATTAATTTTTTGCAAATACTAATGCATACATATAAACTCACACTCTACACACATTGTGGCAATTATGTGTATCCATTCTTATCATCAGAGTTTCAAAAACACAATTTCAGCAATCTCAATCCATTACTACTTGGTGAGCACTAGCAGCTACAATATCATCTAGTCTGGTAATCTTCTGGTTAATCCACGACACCAAACTTTCAGGTGTTGAAGGAGCAGCGGGCCGAGTTCCTGGCACCCGGCCGCCTACATGGCTAGCTTTATACCCGAAATAATTAAACAGAAACTGTATTCTTTTAAACACTGCTTGGCCCATTAGTTCCAACCTCTTATTGGCTAGCTCTTACATATTGATCTAAACCATTTCTAATAATCCGTGTAGCACCATGAGCTGGCTTACCAGGAAAGATCTTAACCTGCATCTGTCTGGAGTGCGAGAATCATGGGGACTCCTGACTCAGCTTCCTTCTCCCACCATTCTGTTCTGTTTACTCCGCCTACCTAATTTTCTGTTTTATTAAAGGTCCAAGACAGTCTCTTTATTTAACCAATGAAATTAACACAAAACAGAAGACTCTCCCCCATTTTCCCCTTTTTCTGTTTAAGCAAAAAAAGAAAAGAAAAGAAAGGCTTTCACTTTAACATAGTAAGATTACATATAACAAAACAGTTATCAAACAAGAATAACAGTTACAATACTTATATCTACCTTATCTTTTATCATAACTAAGGAAAACTATAACTATAACTAACCATTATTCAACTCCATCAAAGACTCCAGAAGGATATAATATTACCTAAGCAAACAAGAAGTTCAAAACTCCAGAAATAACAGAGACATCTCGCTGCCTGGACAGTCACCTAAAGTTCCTCTGTACCATTGGGGCATCCATCTTCGGCCTTCAGGCCAATCGTATCCAGCAGACATTTCCATGAAGCAGGAAATTCCAAAGACAGTTCAGTCACATTTTGCTGTGTCCTGCATAATGTCTCAGAGATTCTTTCATGAGTCAGGAACCCCAAACGACCATCTCACCTTTAGGCAAGTTCAGCAGTCCTCTCTCTGCGGGTTCTGTGTCCACTTTATGCAACAGTCCAGACAAGAGCAGTTTCTTGCCCAAATGGCTATCAAACTCCATAAGGAGCCCCTTCGATACCCATCTTCCTCTTGAAGTAGATTGGTGCTGCCCAGAGCAGATGTGTCTCATTGTCATGAAAAGCGCTAAGTTATTAAAATATTTTAAATGCCATATTCGGCAGTCTTTCAAAGATATGAAGAATGCCTATCTAACTGAAATATATCTCTATATATCTAGAAAAACTAAGTAATATGACTACAAATTTGACTATTATAGATGATTATCTATTAACCTATATGTCTTAATTATACATTACATTTTTAAATGAACTACACAATCGCAATACCTTAATCAATATCAGAAATATGCATATACATATAACAAAATTGACCTATAAATCCACACCAATGCAAATTATTCATATCTCTATCATATATCCCTTTAAATGTAAAAGAACATTTATAAACCATATTTGGGAACATGGACACAGTTTTTTCTCTCCAAACTGCTTCCTACTGAAAGAGGGTGCTGTTAATCAGGTCTTTTATGGGATAACCTGTCTGCTAAGTTCGTTTCAGTCAGCAGTTGAGCAAAGTAATTTTTTGAGGGTGTTCACAGCAACCTTTCAGGAGGGCATGTTCTATCATACTATATTGGGATAGAAGAAATCCACAGGGTCTCATCCTCCGCGAAAACAAAAGAAGTAACTCCTTTCCAAAGCATCATATTCTTAGACCCAAATTCTGAAGTCATAATACCCTTATATCCATTCTGGTTCAGCTTGGCAGCCAATGCAATAAAATGTCACTCTATATTTAGCTCCTTCACAGTCACAAAACTTAAAAAAAAACACAATGTACATAATCCAGACTCTCTGTGTATCTTCCATTTTTACAAGGCTTATTTTTACTCTATCACTTTATTCTGTCTCTTTAAAGACTTTACCCTTTTTCTTAAAGGCATTAACTTTATTCTCTCTATATATTTTTTTTTCTTTCATGCCTATGTCTGAATCTGTCCTGCCGTGAATCTGTAATTTTTTTCACTATCCAGGAGCATTTCTTAAAATGTTAAGCACTTCTTAAAAACTTAAGTTGCACCATGTAGGGGTAATACAGTAATAGGTAGAGTCTGTTTCCTGCCCAGTCTGAACCTTGACTGTGCTGCTATTATTACGGTAATTATGGTAGTTCTTGCCTGAGACCAGAACTGTTCAGCATGGCAGAGCTCAGCTGCTCCTGCCTCAGAGACATTTGGTGTCCCTGAGCCACACACAGTTCCAGGTACACAGCAGTCCACATTGCCATCAAGCAAGCCGTAGCATTTTACTCCAAATGCTCCTTTCAAAAGCTGTCTCCCGCAGAAGCCAAACAGAGATACCAATGGTGGCACAGCCCAGAAAGTCGGCATTTTAAAACAGCCAGTTTTTTCCTGCTGCTGAGTCAGGAAAATTTCTTTGCAGCAAGCCACCCACAAACAGCCAAAAGCTGTGTTATACTCTCTCTCCTTTTTTTTTTTTTTTTTTTTTTAACCATCTCAGGTTTTACGTGTCATTAGTATCACATTGGGCGCCACTCTGTTGTGGTGAGCTGCGGGGCTGTGTTCCAAAGATACAGAATATCCATAAGTGGATGAAACAGGATTGTCTTATCTTGCCACCTTGCCTTTAATAATGGTATGTCAGTTATGTTAGGCCTTAGCCAAAGTTGGTTGACTCAGCATTGCAAACGAGACTTTGGGTGATTGCCCAGGTAGTCAGTTGTCTCTGTCATTTGTTGCACATTTTGGATATCTCTCGTTTGTTAAGTAATATTAATTCCCTTCTCAGATCTTTGACAGAGTTGAAGATTATATAATTGTAGTTACCCTCTACATTATTTAGACTCCTTGAGATAGAATGTTTAGCAAAACTTTTGTTATATGTTTCTTGCTCAATATTGTTTGTTATATTTATTATTTGTCACTATTGTATATAGTTGTAATTGGTTTAGTTCTGTCTTATTCAGATAAAAGGGGGAGATGTAGGGATAGCTCATCTCATTAGGGGGCATGTTTGCCTCGGGCTAATGTTTACATATAAATCTGGTGGGCATGAGCCCCGCTGGTCTCTTTTTTCTTTTTTTTTTTTGTTCTTTCTTTCTTTTTTTTTTTTTTTTGCTTTTTGTATCTCCTGCTCATCCCTGGATCCCTGGTGTTGTAAGCTATCCCTTCATTAAAATTTGCTGTTTCATATTAAGCTAGCCTGGTTTATATGCTGCTTACATTCAGGAAGCTATTGTGGTTCATTTTCTTCCTGTAAACACACACACACACAAACATATACACACGTGAGCTCACATGCACTTGACCCTATATTATAGCATGGTTTTGTCCTTTCAATAATCCATTGCAATGATCTTTTCATTTGCATTAGACCAAAGTCTCTTCTACACCATCATGCCAAAACCTATGCATGGTATAATGCTTGTGGGAATTGACATTTGGAAATTTTAGAATAAAAAATACATGATGTAGTGAATTATGTGGTGACTGAAGGAAAACTCACATTTATTTATTTATTTATTTATTTATTTATTTATTTATTTATTTATTGAAATTGTGTATTCAAGAAGCCAGGGAGAATGCTCACCTTAACTCACACTTATTTATTTATTTATTTATTTATTTATTTATTTATTTATTTATTTATTTATTTATTTTTGCTGTGTATTCAAGAAGCCAGGGAGAACGCTCACCTGAGTCAACACTTTACCTGCAGCATCAATATATAACCTGGGATAACTGGGTCACTTCTCCCCTTCCGAACCTCACTGCATTGCTCAAGATGTTCAGTATACAATTTTAAAATAGGCACAGTCACTGAATATTTACCAGTCATTTCTGACATTCCTTCAAAGTTTTCAAACTATTGATCCCAATTTCCAATTACTGAGTCTTAATTTCTTTGGGATAAAATATATGTCCTGAAAACGGGACAGGTGGCTGCATTTTTATTTTCTGTGGGGAATGAACTAGCCATAAGGGAAAGGCTCTGCTGAAGCCGTTCAAGAATTGCAAGCAAATTCCTTCATTTTTCATGGACAAACAAGAACCTTAATGGATAATGTAAACTTGTTGAAAAAATTTTGAATATTTTGTATTGCATGAGCTACACATATATTGCATCAGGTAGTGTTATCATTACCCAAGGCAACACTAATCAATGATATCTCCCAATTTGTTCCTTTATTTGGCTAATGTAACACTACATGAAAATCTTTGAAAATATTTTGAAACAAAGGCATGGTAAAATCAATCTATTAAATCTAAAATATTTTATAGGTATGATTTGGTCCATACCTTAATGAGAAGGTAATCCAGTCTAGTCTCTAAAGCTCATGCTAGGTGCATGGTCTCATTAACTATTTATAATTCTTGTATCAGTTTCCATTTTCCAGATTTCTATGTTGTAAGAGAACATATTTACGTTTTTACTCCTGCAAAGCAGCAGCCATAACTAGTCGTGTGTATGAGGTTAAAATTCCTCAACAATTTTGAATGTGATCAGAAATGACACCTTTCTTTCTAAAAGATGTCAAAGCAAGCTGATATATTACATTAGTACTCTCGTAGGATAGCTGTTTAATAATCAAAAATCAACATTTGGGATTTTTAATATTCTTATTGATGGCTGCATCAGCGTGGAAACAAAATCGTGGAACAATTCATCAGGTCCCTATATTATTTAAGGTAAGTCCAATGTCTGCTCTCTCGAAGAAAGAAATTTATTCCAAGTATTACTTGGGCCAATATTACTCACAGCTGTAGACTGACTTTGTTCTGAAAACTTAGTTTTCCTTGTCAGGTAGACTTTTCTTGTCAGGCGAGCTTTGGCCGTCTATTTCCATATACTCTAGGATTGCTTCTAAATCCATATACTCTAGCAGCATGTGTAAAAGGATAAAATTGGTCACACTGAGTTTAGGTTGCTTTTAATACTTTGCCTTGATTTAATGGTTTCAGGCCTTGTTGTCTGAGTAGATTTCCCTGATCATCTCATTGCTCTATTCTAGAAATACTTGAAATCCCTGAACATCTTCACATCGGCTCACTGCTTCTCTGGAAACTAACTTGTACAAAAAATGCACAAAAAAAAGGTGGGTGTTTGCCTTGCTCCAGGAGATCTCAGCACCATAGATGGATCAAAACCAGCCACTATGGTAGAAGAGTAGTGCTTTTATGACAGAAGATTTTCAGAGACTTCAATTTCTGTGAAATTTAAATTATTAAGTCTCTCAGGCCTTTTAGCCCCTGTTCTAGCTTTCCACCATCTTTGACTATCAGAATTCCCAGTCAGAAGTGAATGACTTCAAAGATCCTCACTAAGGTATTTGTGGCTTCTTCTACAGCTTACTAGGCTCAGATTGATTGTATCACAGTCCCATAAATACTTCTTAATCTATCATCTCCTCTGTCTGCAGAGAGTCTTCTCTCACTTCTAAGCACTTTAGGGGATCAGTCTTTGCTGTTCAGGGTAGAAAGCATAACTCTGCCTTTTTAGCACCCAGAAATGAAGTAATTTGTGCTGCCAGAAACAGATATGTTTCACTGTTGAGAAAATTGTAAGTTCTTAGAACCTTTTAAATGCCATATTCTTTAGGTCTTTGAAGTGTTGAAGATTATCTATCTAACTGAACTATATCTCTGCATATCTAAAAGAACTAAAAAAATGTTTTTGATTTTGATTATTATTAATGACTATCTATTAATCTTCTTAACTCTACATGATATTTAATTAATCTGCAAAGACAAAACCTTAACCAAGAGCAGTTATATATATATATATATATATATATATATATATATATATATAAAATTCAACCTTAAATGTTTATCAGTAAACTAAGATAAAATCCAATGCAAAGTATTCATCTCTATATATAATATCCCACCTTAAATAAAGACCAACACATATGATTATTTGGAAATTTGCATGTAGTTTTCTCCAAAACGCTTCCTATAATTGTTGGGAAACATTTTATAGGGTTTCTAGAGATCTTCTGGGAGCTCTTGTTCCCTCAAATAACGTTGGTCTGGAAGCAATTGACAGGTTCTCACGTTCTGTGGAACAAAAGCAGGACATCTTCTCAAAAGTAACATATCCACCATGTGGTGAAGGTGCACACCTTCAATCCCAGCACTTGGGACTCGAGAGTCAGAGGCAGGTGGATCTCCATGAGTTTTGGTCCGGCGTGCTCTATAGATCTAGTTCCAGGACAGGCTGCAAAGCAACAGAGAAACCATGTCTTAAAAAACCGAATAACTAAAAGAATATCTTTAGATTCAAATTTTGATGCATTGATAATATATGTTTTCAAAAACCATAAGAGCCCCTGAATTAAATGTCCATCTGCCATCCCTGTATGACAATCAGTTATTTTTATTGTAATTTAATTATTTTCGTTTGTTATTTTCCAACATGACTGCAGCCTCTAATCTGCCTCGTATTCCACCCCTACATTTGGATAATCTCTGACTCTGTTTCTCCACTGTATTCTCACAGTATGAAGGAGGTTTCTCATTGACACCAGAAAGCTTGGCATAACAGCTTGCCATAACACCAGGCACCTCTCCCTACATTTATGCAGAAAAATGCAATCCTGAATGAGGAACAGGTTTCAAAGTATCAGCCAAAGCCAAAGAGACAAATCCTTCTCCACTGCCTGTTCAAGTACTGGCAGTTCAAGCATCACAACGATGACAGATAAACAGAGGAACTAGGTGAGTCTCATGAAGGCACAGTGGTTGTTGACATAGCTCACAGTAATTTCTGAAAGTCATTCAAAGTTTGTGATGTTTCTCTTTTAATTTCCAATTTCTTAGCCTTAATTCCTTTTGAATAAGCATATATCCCAAAATATTCAAAAAATGGCTGTCTTTGAATTTTAACTGGGGCAATTACTAACTCCAAAAGAACAGGATTCTGTTGAAGCTGACAATATATAAGAAACAAACTTGCTACATTTATATGAACAAGCTAGTCATCATCATTAAAGCATAATATAAAACTGTGGAAATTGAAATGTTAGATTTTATGTAGCCTGAGCCACAGATTTCTGCCATAATATAACACTTCTTGTCATACCCTGAGGCACGATGTTCTATTGCTATTGTCTAACTTGATATTTGAAATTAACTGATGAAACACTAACTTCATATCTTTGACAATTTCAGTGAGCCCAGGGAATGGTATAAAAAGAGTCTTTTAAAAATAGAACAATATTATATGTATCTTTTGTTATGAAAGAAACAGAAGGCAATGCAAAATGTAAAGCTCCCATTAACTCTCATTAACGGTTTTTAAATCTTATATCAATCTCCAATTTCCAGATTTATTTGTCAGGAGAAACATCTTTAACTGTTTTTTTTTCCTATAAAACAGAAGTCATAGCTAGGCACTGGCTATATGAGTGTCCAATATCTGAGGATATTCAAATAAAATCAGAAATATTACTCTTATTTCTAATTGGTCTCAAAGCAAACTTAAATACTATAATAGTATTGTTGTAGGCTGGCTTTACCTCTCAAGTATCCAGTTTCGGTGTCTCTAATTAATCTGTTTGGCTACAACAGCATTCTGAAACAATTCATCACATCCCTGAATTAATAGACATTAGACTTCAGTCTGCTCTTCAGAAGACATAAGTTTATTCCAGGCCTTCTTGTCATTGAATTAACTTGGGCATATACTGCTCTTTCAAAATTAAATTGCTGATTTCTTTTACTATGAAGTCATTCACCAATAAGCATATGAAAAGAAAAGGGAATTTGTTGGGTCAGATTTCTCTGATGTGTGACCCAACAACCTTCTTCATGTTTGTTTTCTACAACAGATAGTCTCCATTTGACAGGCAAGCTTTGTCCAATTGTTTCCATTTCCCATAGTGTAAGGCTCTAAAACCCTGTACTCCAGCAGCATTTGCATCAAAGGAGCATTTGGGCCATACTGAGTTCGAGTTGCTTTTAATTCTTTGAGTTGTTTGAATGGGTTCAGGGCAACTAAGTTATTATTTGTCTTGCACTTATCTTTGCTCAATTGCTAATAACATTTGTACTTTCTCTCCTCAGCAAGTACCTTCCCTGAAACTAGCTTGCTTGAGAGATACACAACACAACTAAGTGTTTGAACTACTCCAGCAGGTCTCTGCATTATTGCTTGTTCTAAACCCTCCCTTGGGTAAGAAGAGGAGTGATTTTTTTTTTTTTTTGATAAGAGGAGATTTAGAGAGTTTCCAACTTCTGTGAAGGTAATATTGCTAAAGTCCTCAAGCTTCTTAGATCCTGTCTAATTATTCCATTAGCTCACCAGAAGCAAAGGACTTGAAAACTCCCTCTTCTTGTTCTTAGCAGTTTCTACCCATAGTTCTCTCTAGGCACAGGCTGATCATAATCAGAGTACTATAAATGTTTCCTCATCTAACAGCTCCTGTGGTGGATAGGAGTGTCCTGTCTCACTTCTAACCATTGCAGGCAGAACTATGTTTTACCTGTTATGTGCAAATACAAACTCTCCCTTATGAGCCCCCACAAATGAAAAGAATACTTTGTGCTAATTCCAGGTTATAATGGTCTTGGTATTTCACCTCAATTTTTCTGTGTCCAAGGGACCATGCTTGGGAAATCAAAGGCTGAGCTTCTCTACAAATTCTACAAAATTTCTGTTTTTGAAACTGATCCACCTAAGCTCCTCTAGCTTGTAAATTATCTCCTAGGCAATTTCACAGTCACTTAACTACTGATTTTCTGTCACAATGCAAATTTATTTACAATTATAATCTCTCATTTTTCAACCCATGTTCACTTTTACTTTTTTTCCCAAGCACTTACTCTTTACTTTACACCTGTGGAATCATCTATCTTTTGGCATTGATCAACCAATATGTCTATAGTCCATTTTCACTTCTGAGGAGCCATCATTTATTGTCCTGATCTACCCATTTCCATACTTGTGGAAGGGATAAGGATTAAGATAAAAATTTATAAGAAAAAGTATATAGATATTAAGGACACACAGTGAATACTGTTATATATCTCAAAGTTCATATATATCTCGGTCCAAAAATGATTTAGGAGTTAAGAATTCCTTGCCATGTTACAAAGAACAAATAAAATAATATTCTCTCAAAATCACCCAACAGGTAGTAACTACACCTTAAGTCAAAATATCATTATTCTTCTCACAATGTCCTATAACAACACGTTAAGTCAAATCATCCTAGCTTATACCCTTCTAGAAGCAAGTGTAGATCTGAGGAATTAGTGGATCCCGTGAAGCTACCATGGATTTGTTATATCTCACAATAATTTCTGAAAGTAGTTCAAAGTTTGTCATCTTTCTCTCTTGATTTATGATTTCTTATGATTAATTTCTTCCGGATACGACATATATCCCAAATATTCAAAGGCAGCTATTTTTTTTTTTTATTTCACTGGGGAAATTACTAACCCTGAATGGACAGGATTAAGCTAAAGTTGACAAGATATTTCAAACAAACTTACTTCCTTTATAAGTACAAGCAAGTAATTTTCCTTTATTGGATGATATAAACTTGTTGAAATTGATCTCTAATAATTTGGGTAGCCTGAGAAAGAGAATTCAAGCATAATGTAAATATTTTTGTCATATTATGTATCAAGATATTCCAATTGTATCTTCTAATTGGATTTTTGAATTGACTGATGAAAACTAAATGCAAATCTTTGACAACTTTGAGGAACCCAGGGAAAGAAAAAAAAAAACAATCTTGTAAATCTAAGACAATGTTATTGGTATCTTTTGCTATGGAATATTGAGAAGGCAATAGAAGCAGTAATTAATCTAATTAACTCTTCTTGAATCTTATGTCAATCTCCAATGTCTAGACTTCATTGTTAGGGATAACGTCTATAACTATTTTTTTCATGTAAAGAAGAAGTCATAGCTAGGAACTGATTATCTAAGAGTGCAATATCTGAAGATATCCAAATGTAAGCAGAAATATTACCTTTCATTCTAAAAGGTCTCAAAGCAAACTTAATAACTGCAATAATATTGCCATATGTTTGCTATTCATCTCTCAAATGTCCAGCTTCTGTATCTCCCATTAATATGTTTGATTAGTACGTCATCATAAACAATTCATCAGGTCCCTAATTAAATTTATATTACTCTTCAGTCTGCTATCCATGAGATAGAAGTTTATTTCAGGTATTCTTTTTTTTTCAATACTGTTTGCTCTATCTAACTCTTTTTTTTAAAGTTATTTTTAATTAAAAATTTCTACATCCTCACCTCCTCCCATTTCGCTCCCCCTCCCTGCATCCTCTCCCTCTCCCTCTCCAGTCCAAAGAGCATTCCAGCTTCCCTGCCCTGTGGAAAGTCCAAGATGCTCTCCTCTCCATCCAGGTCTAGGAAGGTAAGAATCCAAACAGAGTAGGCTCTCACAAAGCCAGTACATACAGTAGGATCAAAACCCAGTGCCATTGTCCTTGGCTTCTCAGTCAGCCCTCCTTGTCTTCCACTTTCAGAGAGTCCAGTTTGCTTCACATGTCCTAGTCCATGCTTCATCAGTCCTAGTCCAGCTGGCCTTGGTGAGCTCCCATTAAATCAGCACCACCATCTCAGTGGGTGGGCGCACCCCTAGCAGTCCTGACTTCCTTGCTCATGTTCTCCCTCCTTCTGCTCCTCATTTGGACCTTGGGAGCTCAGTCCATTGCTCCAATGTTGGTCTCTCTCTCTAGCTTCATCCTTCGATAGATGAAGGGTCTATGGTGATATGCAAGATACTCATCATTATGGCTATAAGATAGGGCCATTTCAGGCTCCCTCTCCTCAGATGCCCAAGGATCTAGCTGGGGACATCTGTATGGACACCTGGGAACCCCTCTAGAGTCAAGTCTCTTGCCAACCCTAAAATGGCTCCCTTACTTAAGATATATACTTCCCTGCTCCCCTATCTGCCTTTCCTCTATCCCAAAGGTCCCATTCCCCAAGTTTTCCCCCCTCCTCCCCTTCTCACATTTCTCTCCCCATCTCCCCTTACCCCCATGACACCACCACCCGCAAGATTCCAATTTTTGTATTCCACGCATTATTTCCAGTTGAATTAACTTGGGCTTATGCTGCTATTTCAAAATTTAATTGCTGATTTCTTTTTCTACGAAGTCCCTCACCATTAAGCAAATGAAAAGAGACAGGAATTTATTGAGTCAGATATCTCTCATCTGTGGCCCAACAATTCTTCTGCATGTTTGTTTTTCCGCAACAGATAATCTCCATTTGAAGGCAAACTATGTCCTGGTTGCTTTTAATTCTTTATAAACCTTATAAAGTATTTGGATGAAGGAACACTTAATAGAGTTATGTTCCTGGTAGTCACCAGCACCCAGCTCATAAAACAACTCTTAAAGAACCATAACTCTCTTTTCCACTTACATTGACCATAGCTGAACAAAAACACTTATTCAGAGCCACATTTGATTCAATTTTTTGATTGCTTAAAATCTTCAAGATATCTATTTTATTGGTTTTATGTTGATTAGTTTCCCTACATCTGAATGTCATTAGTAGGAATATGTTTTGTTTCCCACTAGACAGTTCCTGAGTAAGCATAGAGAAAATTATTATTATTTCTAAACACTCAACAAATTGTTCAGGTCATTACTAGTTAACATATAAATTTTAAATTAATTATATTTCTTATATGTGCTGTGCCATATGGATGGGTATTTTCTCA